CCCCCCCCCCCAAAAAAAATCCACTCAACTTGTACTGCATAAAAGACCGCAAGCATTTTATCTCCTCACAACCTGCAAACACAAATAACGTGAGCACAAAACAAAGCCCGACTGTACCTAAAATATTGTCTGTCCTCCTTTTTTCTTCTGCGGTGTTTATTGGCGGTTGGCAGATCAGGTTAATGGCGCATCAGCTCCACCAACTGGTTTTATTCTGCAACTACAAGGAAACTTGCCTGTGGGTTTCGAATATGACGCCCGCGGCTTTCACAATTACATTCAAGGCATTTGCAACAAGGAAATAACAAAAGCAATCGGATGTTACTTCAGCTAAACTGTCCTGAAACATGCTAACAACAAAAAAACTGCTAGTTATTGATAGAAACATGCAAAAGCCAAGCCTGCTCAAACTCAGCCCACTATCCTCTCTACGTCCTTCAGCAGAATGTCCCTGAAGATGTCGGCCAGCACTCCCTGAGGATTATTGACATTGGTCTTCTCCATGTCGGCGTTCTGCGGACTCCCCCTTTGTAAGCGGGTCTTTCTCCCCTGGGGCCTCGCCGGCATCTGACTAGGGTCCTCCTTGCTGTTCAGATGACTGCGAGCCTGAGGGTGGAGAATAGCCTGCGGGGAACCGCCGATGTCCGTCAGGAAGGCAAAGATCTTGACCGGTTTGTGTTTACGGGCGGCGGGTTTGTTCCATCGGAAGTGCTCGATCGCGTAGGGGCTTCTCTTGGAGCTTTTGTGTCCCAGCTTGGGTCCGGGTGTCACGTTCCGGTGGGGTTTACCCCAGCGGAAGTGCTCGATGGAGTAGCCCCTTTTGGCGTTGCGAGACCCCGGTCTGCGTTCCTGTGTCTTGTTCCTGTAGGGTTTGCTCCAGCGGAAGTGCTCCATCAGGTAGGAGCGCCGCTTGTCGGCTTTCGCTCTGACGATCGACTCGGACGTGTTGACTTTGGGGGGTTTGTTTTCCTCGCTGGTGTTAAGGGCCACCGCACCGAGAGCCGGACGCTCCGTCTGGCTCGCTGATTTGCAGAGTTCCAGGCAGACCTCAATGGAAGAATCACAAAAATGCCAAGACAAGATTTAAGAAGGATTGCATTCCATATGTCTTTTATGACCGGGCCTTGAGGTTAGAATTTGGCAATCTGAGAAAATAAACTCGACAATATGCTTTGTCTCTTGCCGCCTCTGCGTGTTTTGCTACCCTTAGTTGCCAAAAAGACAGTGACAAGAAGAGCCAAGAAAACATTGGGCCTCAAAACGAGATCAGCGAGGAGATTTGAATTCGAGAGAGGTGGCCCCAAAAATCAAAAGCAGAATTTTGGCAATTAAATTTATCGTGTCAGAGGTGGAGGCAAGGCAACACTTTTTTAAAGCCTATTCACAGGAGCGTCTAAAAACAAAAATGGATCGGAGCCTTTCTCACAGAGGTTGTCCATGCAACCAATACAAAGTGCTTTGTCATCCATCACAGGTGCGTATTATGAGTAATTTTTTGTTCCTTAATATCTCAAGTCATTAGCAAATACGTATTATGAGTATTTTTTTTTGTTCCTTAATATCTCAAGTCATTAGCAAATTCTCGTTTTCAATTATTAGCGTTAAAGGCTTTAGAAATGAATGTCGTGTGCATTTTAACTGTTTTTTTTTTTTTTTTTTAAACTGAGCCTGATCCAATTTGCATACGTACGTACGGTCAGGGAAGGTTCCCAAAATGGAGAAAATAAATTGAAGTGGTCTTGATGAATCTCAGTTTTGTGTTTGTGACTCACCACTCGCTTGCCTTTGTTGATCTTTTGGCAGATGGAGCACTCGGACCCGAACGCCGGGATGGACAAGAACGCCACCAGCACCACCGACAACCAACATGGACACTCCATCCTTCGATCTCTGCTGTGCGGCTGCTCAGCTTCAAAAGGAAAAGCAAAATATGAATGCTTACAAATAGCCATTTTTGCTTTGTTTGTTTGTTCCTGTTCAGGTTTGGCGAAATTGTTTACATTTGTATCCGTAAATATGTTTCCGTTGATATGTGTAAAAACATACCAATGAGAATCGACAGTGTGACGGTTATCCCCAAAAAAGCAAAAAAATCGTTTGCGGGTAAGCCCAGTCCTAAAATTTGACAAACGATGCACGCTATTCTTGATTCCATAAATTTGTTTACATTTGTATCCGTAAATATGTTTCCGTTATGTGTAAAAACATAGCAATGAGAATCGACAGTGTGACCGTTATCCCCAAAAAGGCAAAAAAAAATCGTTTGCGGGTAAGCCCAGTCCTAAAATTTGACAAACGATGCACGCTATTCTTGATTCCATGCCCATTCCAGTTGTTATGCTTCGTTCAAAGAACCTTTGAACTCTGATTTAAGAGGCTTATGTCAAATATTCTGTGGGAGCCAAACTTGAGCAGGGTAAGAAATCCGTTGTACCATCTTGCCATCATTATCACGATAAAATAAGAATTATTGTGCTACAACATTTTGATCTTATAGGTTAGGCTTATGCTAAAAGAAAGACACATAATAAATATGATGGACATCCACGAGTAGATACATACATAACAAAAAATAAATAAAATACACATATATATTTAAAAAAAACGAAATAAAGCATACTGACTGACCCAAATGAAGCAGAAGTGTTTTTGTTTTTTTTTTCCTCAAAATTCCTAATCGTAACAATCATTTGATTTCATGTTCAGCTTTTCAGATTTCATGTTCGTTTCATGAAAGTGCTCGCAAGGAGCCTAGTTCGGACACTTCACACAAGAACTAACCGCGCGGTGAACGGTCAGATTGACAGATTGCAAATCCTGACCTCATCACTCATAAGGCCCCGCCCCTTCAAGGCAGGTCAACATCCACATGCGCCGACAGATTAACGACATTTCAATTCATTCGATTTCACAATGGGGAAATTGAGTTCGTATAAAAGCAAATCATGAAAGCAGAGACATTCACTGATATTAACAGTGAGCAAGGCAAAGAAGAGGCTACAAGTTCTCACTGGTGTTAGAGTCAGGGGATGGAGGAGATGAAATGTTTTTTTTCTTTTCTATCATCTCTATTGCCTTTCCTGGGGAGATGATTTTAAGTCTTCCTTTAACCCCAAAATATTTTTAATGATAGTCCAGTCCAGAAGCCCACTTCCATCTCATTGGTGCCCACATGCAAGGTATTTTTTTGGCCACGTCACAGCATCCCTTTTTATGCCCCCCCTCCACAATGTTAAATTATTAGTGTGCTCCTCGGAGTGTGCCCGATTTGGCTTCTAAACAGGATCGCATAACTCTTTCTTTTGCTGTTCGGTGCTTTCTACTGTCTTTATTACCGATTTGTTTCTTTAATAATAATAATAAGAATAATAATAATACATTTAATTTATAAGCGCCTTTCAAAACACTCAAGGACACTTTACAATCAAAACAAGAACAATAAAACCGCAGATAAAATTATAAATAATAAAAGGAGAGATGAATTTAAACTGAATTTAGCGACTCGAGATAGTTTACTGTTGTATATGTTCGTTGTTCCATGTACAGCACTTTGTATGCAGCTATGGCTGTTTGAAAGTTCTCTATAAATACAGTTGAGTTGAGTTTCATTGAACCTGTAACCTGATAACATGATAAGCTGTCCACTATAGGAACCGAAGTGCCTGAAAGTGTTAATATTGTAAAGTTTAAAAAAAAAAAAATTGGCAAGTTAATTTTTTTTCTTTCTAAGGTTGATCTGGAAAAAAAAAAGTTATTGTATTTTGGGTCAAAAAAAGGTGTAAGATGTTACAAGTATATGGTTGTAAAAGACTTGCGTTGAGGAGAAAATACTGAACATTTTCACGAGAGGCTCAATTTTGTGAAGCTCTAGAAGAAAAGAAACAGCTGAAAGCGACGTTGTTCACTCCTACAGCTAACAATGTTGCAATTGTAACCCTCAAAGAAGTGAAGAGAGATATTATGAGGGTGACAGATTGACCCCAGAACATTTCTATTCATAGTACATGACTTCCTATGAGAGTCGAAACGCAATGTTGATCAGAATTACTGTTTGATTCATTGATTTTGTTCATCCACGACGCTACAAAAATCCCGCAAGCCTGACGTCAAATTTTCAAGACTGACCTCATATTTTTTCAGTTTTACTAGGATATTGCGGATAGATTACGCAACTGCTTCAGGTCTTTCTCTCCCCAACCCCCCACGTCTGAAAATTGTTGCATTTATTTGCTCTTCGCTCACCACATTTTTTTTTTTTTACTTTCGAAGCCGAAAGACACGTAAAGCAATCATCGGATTCCTCTCACTCATCCCTGCTCCAAAAACCCCCCCAAAAAAGCATAAATGTTCTTACCTTTTCCGTACTGGAGGTTGTCCTCTTGTGTGCAATCTCTATTTGCTGTCGTTTTTTTTTTCTAACCTCCTACAACTTTTTCTTTATGGTTTGTTGTACGACTCTTATCCTGTTCCTCGCGGCTGCTGTCAGCTCAGAGGCTCTCTGCTCTCAGCTCTTTTTATAGAGCGCCTCAAGGCCTCGGGGTGTGTGAAAGATGTGAGGGATCTCCCACTCGGCGTGGGCGGGGAAACAATGCATCATTTTGTGTGTGTGAGTGTGTGCGTGTGTGTGCGCGCGGCGCGTGGGTGCGTGTTTCTGTGCCTTAGCCTACGTCGTCTTTTTTTTTTTTTTTTAATCAGTGGTGACACCACCTTGACACTTGACCCGCACGCAGCATCTTGCCATGATTGTCCTTCACACAAAAGAAATGTAATTTTCCGACGACTGAATGGTTATGTTATAGGTAAAAAATAAAAAATAAAAAATAAATGTTATGAAAGTAAAATTGCCCCACGAAGAAGATAAAGCTTGACTTTATATATCCACCAATAAATACTTACTGTGCCATTTTTCTTTGGTGTACCATGAGATTTTTGTCATTTTAAATGTGTCTTTGCTCAGTAAATGTTGGGCAATACTGCTGCGCATATACGTCAAAATTGTAGTTACTGTCAAAAAACAGTGGCGTTCCACAAGGCTCAGTAGTCAGTCCACGCATTTTTACAGTATACCCTACATTAATGTGAAGGAATTCAGGGCCAACCCTCCCAGTTATAATGCATACTTGGCATCTGTAGTCATCAATGGCATGCTAATGGTGTTCCACAAGGCTCTATACTAGGTCCATCCATCCTTCCATCCATTTTCCTATCCGCTTCTCCTCACAAGGGTCACGGGGGGTGCTGGGGCCTACCACGAAGAAGATAAAGCTTGACTTTATATATCCACCAATAAATACTTACTGTGCCATTTTTCTTTGGTGTACCATGAGATTTTTGTCATTTTAAATGTGTCTTTGCTCAGTAAATGTTGGGCAATACTGCTGCGCATATACGTCAAAATTGTAGTTACTGTCAAAAAACAGTGGCGTTCCACAAGGCTCAGTAGTCAGTCCACGCATTTTTACAGTATACCCTACATTAATGTGAAGGAATTCAGGGCCAACCCTCCCAGTTATAATGCATACTTGGCATCTGTAGTCATCAATGGCATGCTAATGGTGTTCCACAAGGCTCTATACTAGGTCCATCCATCCTTCCATCCATTTTCCTATCCGCTTCTCCTCACAAGGGTCACGGGGGGTGCTGGGGCCTATCCCAGCCATCTTCGGGCAGTAGGCAGGGGACACCCTGAACTAGTTGCCAGCCAATCGCAGGGCACACACAGACGAACAACCATCCGGACAACCGGGCCCGATACTCAGTCCACTGTCAAAATTATTTGGCACACCAGTCAGACTGCTGCATAAGCTACATTGATACAGGGGGCTCCTCGGTTTGCAACAGTACAGACATACAACATTTTAAGGTACCAAAACTCATACAGTCAACCAATTTGCACAACAAAAAATGTGTTCATGCATAGTTAAAGCTGTACTTTATATTTTTATGGCCTACAAGTATATTGTTGTTGTTGTTTTTTTTTTATTTGAATGTCAATGTTACCCCTGTGTAAGTGTAGGTTAGTGATCGATTGCGGCGCATTCCGCAATGTTGTGACAAAAAGACACAATGTGACCAGTCGACATTATGCTCGTAACGTTGCACCTGTTTTAGTTCCAATATTATGACTCATCTGCGATTGGTTCGGTGTACCCCATCTCGCCCAAAGTCAGCTGGGATCGGCTCCAGCTCACCCGTGTATCAAATGAAGACAAGCGCTGTAGAAAATGGATGTTTGTTCGGCCTTAATCCTCGTAATGTTCCTCTTCCAGAACGATGACTTTAATCACGTCATCAATACTCGGTCCACTGTCAAAATTATTTGGCACACCAGTCAGACTGCTGCATAAGCTACATTGATACAGGGGGCTCCTCGGTTTGCGACAGTACCGACATACAACATTTCAAGGTTCCAAAACTCATACAGTCAACCAATTTGCACAACAAAAAAAATGTGTTAATGCATAGTTAAAGCTGTACTTTATATTTTTATGGCCTACAAGTACATTGTTGTTGTTGTTGTTTTTTTTTTTATTTGAATGTCAATGTTACCCCTGCGGTAGTGTAGGT